TCAATGTCGGACGCACACCCGCTCACAGTCCCTTTTGATCCCCATTCGAACCCTTTCGACTACTCCCTTGACGATGAAATCCAGGAGGAAATGCGCAAGAAGCCGTACGCCCGGCTCATCGGGTCTCTCATGTACGCGGTGATCGGTACACGCCCCGATATCGCCTTCGGTGTCTCAACCCTGGCGCGCTTTATGGCGAATCCCGCACCCATCCATTGGGAAGCCGCAAAGCGCATCCTGCGCTACCTCAAGGGGACCCGAGAGTACGTCCTCACTCTCGGATCCACGTCTGACGGGCTGGTTGGCTATACAGACGCCGACTGGGCTTCGCAACCCCATCGGCACTCGATATCGGGCTACGTTTTCCTATTCAACGGAGGCGCGGTCAGTTGGCGTTCATCGAAGCAGCCCATCATCGCGCTGTCCTCCACTGAAGCTGAGTACATTGCCGCTTCCGATCCGTCTCGTGAAGCCATCTGGCTCCGCAACCTCCTATCAGAACTTACTGCTCCATTAGCGGCACCGACCCTTCTCCTCTGCGACAACCAGAGCACTCTCAAGCTCGTCGACAATCCCGACATCTTCCACGCTCGCACGAAGCATATCGACATTCGCTATCACCACATTCGCGAGCTTGTTGTGCAACGTAGTATGATCCTCCGCTACTGTCCAACCAACGAGATGGTGGCCGACTTGCTCACGAAGGCGCTCCCTCGTCCCCGGGTCAAGATGCTCGCTTTCGCTCTCGGCCTTCGTCAGGCTTGAGGGGGAGTGTTGGCGTGCAAGCGCCGACGAAGTCTCGAGAACGTTGGGTTTCGTACCTGAGCGCCTGCGCCCACATGGCGAGCTTATCACCCGCCACCATCAGTCGCGGGCGCTCCCCGTCGCTCACTTATACCGACGTTTGTGTCGACCAGTGCCTCAGTCTTTTCCCCACTGAGGCACTGGTGAGCCCTCTAGATATTCTATGCTGTATGCCCATATGTACTGACCATGTCCTCGCCATGTAGATTACATTAGGTACCTAGTTATACAATACTGAGTCTTTTCCCCACTGAGGCACTGATTACATTAGATCCTACTGTAGTCAGCTCGTAACCCCGTTAATAGCGTCATGCTCGCTCATTGAAGACGGCTCGGGCACCGCGCCCTTCGCCTACACTGAAAGGGGCCATAGGAGTCGCACATGGCAGCCACGCGGTGGATCCCATGTGACGTAGACGCCTCATCTTCCCATATCACTAGCTTTCGTTTACCCGTGGCTTTGCCACTCTTGCCTGCTGAATTGAATAATTGTCTTGGTTCTTCTTATCACAAACATAACCTGTTGTATTTGAGCAATTTTACCATAGGCACCCTAGATGTGTTCTAGATCCTGACATAGCATGGTTCACGGTTTTCAGTTGTCGCTTTACAACAGTTCGCATATTGATAGGCCCTTTGAAACAACCATCCTCAGGTTGGTTGAGAGCCAAACCATATGCAAGCCCAATGGATGCTCCAAATCCCCACTGAGCTCGCCATCTGGCAGGGCCCAGCGATGGGAGTTCAAGGCACCTGAATGGCTCTCAGTGGTGCCCTGCAGGGATTTGAGTGGCAAATCGGACTTGCATCTTGGTTGGCTCGTCACTAACCTAAGTGTGGTTTATCACCCTGAAACTCGCTGTAGGTACACCCGTTGCTTTTGGGCAGTTGCCCAAAGTCACATTACATCATGATAGTTACTTAATACCCATTGAGCAGCCATTGTGTTCTACATGTCAGGCCCTGTGTAAAATCACCTGTAAGGTTTTTTTCGAGTTTGGTGCGGGGCCTGCTAACTTACCCTTGTACTTGTTTAACTCCTATCGAGTGCTCCATGAATACCATACAGTAACCCAGAAAGTTCAGTTTTAAAAGATTCCGTTCCTGTCATCAATGGATTTATTTAGTCATATATTCCCTCTTCATGTGTAGATAGCTCTCATCAGAAACATTGATATCAAATTTCCCTGGTTGCTGCCCGGCCTCGCCCGTTGAACAGAGCGCCCAACGCTCAGGACGCCCGTGTGGCGCGCTGGGCCCTAAGCGGCGCACATGGCAGCCACGCGGCACCATGTGGACGCCATGTGGCCTAGACGCCCCGCCGTCCCATTCTTTTATGATTACGGCAGGCTCTGGGGTTCCGACAATCCGATGCCTTCCAGCAGACCGGACACACTGTCACGCTCTCATCGACAACCATTCCCGCCTATCTTCATGACGCCATTGTCTCGCTATGCAGACAAGTTGAAGCACTTGCTGAACATTCAAGACTACTGATCTCATTCCGGTCCTCCGATGTAATCACGGTACGCCTTGCAAGTTGCGATCTCACATCGGATTGGAAGCTGAGGATCCGTCGTACGCCTAGGGCATTGTCGAAGTTGTCATAATGTTTAGTAAGCACCGGATCACTTCATTAGACTTGTATCGTCCTTGATACGAACTCTGGTATGGGCAGATGTGGCCAGATATCGATGCGCATGCCGACCTTACTCGGGTCAAGGATGACTTGTCATACCATGCACACTCTACTTTCCAGTTGCAAGGTCTTTATTCTTAGGCAGTCACGAATTCGGGCATTGAAGATCCCTGATGATAGACCCATACTACCGGAATTTACATCCGTTGAGCAATGGTGCTCAAACTCCGGACACAATTTTGGTTCACGCCAGCAGCCTGAGCCGGTATGATCGGCTACCGGGCATACCAGCACCTCAAGTCGGAGCCCTCAATGTGCGAGGACAGATGATGAGAGAATCCGGAATCCTCAGGTTGTATAAAGGGGGTCTGCACCAGTGGCCCAAGACCTCAGTTCTCTACACCTTTCGTCTCTCATCGCATCTGCTCTCACCTGCACTAACTCCTATCGCTACACAATGACCACTGTCGCGTCCGGTGTCTGTGAGTCTCTCCTCTCCCTTCTCTCTGTTCGACTGCAGGCCGATATATGCGCGTTTCTACAGATTTCATCAAGGCTTTCGCCGCACTCACTGTCCTGACCCTCCTTAATGGTCCGTATCCTCTCCACTACTGCTCCCCTCTCTGCCTCACTGATTGTGTTCTTCTGGCGCATAGGCTCTTCCCATAGCGGTCCGCATACTTGTTCCCGCTACTTCCTGCACGCTGATTTTGCCCCCACTCCCACTAGGCACGATGGTCCAAGGCGACGCCAAGCGCGATCTCACCGACCCCTCGGTGATCTCGCAGCTGTGGGTCGTTGCCCAGGTCAACGGCACCAGTCTGTACACCATCGAGAACGCACAGGGCGGTACATTCTTGGACCTGCTGGGCGGTGCGCCATTGAGCATTCATTGCTTGCTTTGCCTTCCCTGATCACACACGTGGATGTGACAGGCTCAAACGCGTCCGCCACGCCTGTCGTGGGAAATTCGCAGTCTGGAACTTCTGTCCAGCAGTGGTCTTTCATGCCCACCTCAGCCAATACGACCTACACGTACGCTCGCACCTCTCTCTCTTCCCCTCATCGTGCCATGACTCATACTTCTCGTTGTGCCTAACAGCATAGTTAACTCTGCAACCAATAGTACGCTCTCTTCCTTCGCTCTGTACGGTAGCGAAATACTGACGGATACCTGTGCCTTGATGTAGCGGTCATCGACTTGTTGGCTGGGTGCGCACCTCACATTCGTCGGACATTCGCATTCAGTGCTGACTCTGTAATGGCTTCGGATCGAAGGGGCACTGCCGACGGTACCGCCGTAAACGGCTGGGAGTACACTGGCCCGACCAACACGAATCAGGTGTGGGACCTCGTCCGCGTTGGAGCTGCAGAGTTTACTCGCAACAAGTAATCCCTACTCGGCGACATGGCCCCGTGCCGTGGTATGATCTAGTCGTCTCCGATTAGTAGTCGAGCAATTTCTTGGACCTGTAAGACCTGTGGCGGAGGAATGATGTACTCGCGTTGGGGAGGTGTGATTGTCGCATAACAGCTGCTGTGCGAATGTGATTTCGAGACTGGGTGCATTGCAAGGCTCTTACGATTGTCAGCCGATAGCGGCGGCAATGAAAAAGGTTGGATACAAATGAGTCTGTCTTCTGAGGGCCTGCGTGACCCTCTTGGGAGGGGGGCGGGCGGTGTGGTGGTTTATGCATCCGGTTGTGCCGCCCGCGGTTGGCCGGAACGAGCGCTCGGGGCTCGGACCGCCCGCCACCGCTCCCGAAACGCGCGCTACGGCGCGCACGACGCGGCATGCGACGCGCTCGATTACTTGACGTAGTTGACACCGGACCCACCATGCATCCTGCGATTCCTGCTTGCTGAACCTGTCTTGCCTCTCGCACAATGCCACCAGGGCCCGCATACAACTGGCTTTGCGTCGCGGGTTCGGTATGCGACATCCTTTCGCAATCTGCGCAGATCCGCGCAGCCCAGCTGGCAAGGACGAGTCGAGTGCTCAGCGCGGAAAGCCTGTCTAGAAAACGAAAGAGAGACGAGCCCTATCCACAGGTGGTGAGTAGTGCGCGGGAGTGGGAGGAGATTTCGATGAAACCAGCACGGACGACTATTGCTGATGTCGCCTCCAACACACCTGTCCTTGAGAGGGAGGGAATATCTCCGATGAAGGGGCCTCCACCTACTGTGACGCTCTCGAAGGAGGACAGCAGCCGGGCAGGTGGGAACGCATTGGCGGTGAGCTTGTTCTCTTCCGTTAAACAATTTAGGCCTCAATCGGCTTCGGCAGTCTATATCGAACATAGTCCCGGAGAACACCGTTCACTCGACTGCATTGGGGGAAGACACTGTCCCTTCGCGAGTACAGGCACAACATGCACCTATCAAAGTACCTTTGGAGCCCCCATACGTTGACGATGCGCCTCATGGAAAAACATTGTCGCACCAGTCATCGACTGGGAGCTCCGCGGTCGAGATGGAGGTGCCTTCGGTGGGAGATACTGCCGCCTGCACAGGAATATCAGATCCCGCAGAGGTACGTTTCTGTTTACGTCCAAGGATAACATTCACAGACCAAGAGTGTCTATACTTAGGCAATAATGTTTGACCGACCAAAGAGCAGAAACCTGCAGTCGTCCAAAGTACCGTCTTCACGAATAGGACGCCTCTTCCACTACGGAGGTGCGTGTGCATGTGCCTTACTGCAACATCCCTGAATGATTTGGGTGTCTTTCCATCCGCTTCAGGTCTCGCGGCGTCGCTCAGCTTCGGTGCTGCTTCTGAACTCATCCGCCGAACGACGCATAGTTCCGACGGGCATGCCGCAGCCTCGCTCATGCTGACAGAGGGAAACATCAAGCGTCTCGTATCAAAGTTGACACAGATGCGTGGTGCTGCACTGAAGCTCGGCCAGTTCATGAGTATACAAGGTCTGTGTGGCGCATATATGCGTCGCCTTTGTAGGGCTGATAGTTATGCGCACAAGATAGCCACGTGCTACCACCAGAGATAGAGGACATCTTCCGCCGCGTCCAAGATAGCGCACATTACATGCCTGACTGGCAAATGGAGGTTCGATCAAGACCATTCCTTCAAGCCCGTGTCTCCTAACGTTCTGACCACATATACCCTGCAGAAAGTCATGCACGACTCCCTTGGACCCTCCTGGATGTCGAACTTCGAGTCGTTCGATCGCCTCCCCTTCGCCGCGGCCTCCATAGGCCAAGTGCACTCCGCCATGCTGGCTGCCTCTGCCTCGCCCACCGGCAAGGCTGAGCCTGTTGCGGTCAAGATCCAGTTCCCGAACATCGTCAACTCGATCAACAGTGACCTCGGCTACGTGAAGATGCTATTGACTGCCGGCCGCCTCTTGCCTCCAGGGCTGTTCCTGGACCGGACAATCCAGGTCATGAAGGAGGAATTGGCGGATGAGTGTAATTATGCCCGTGAAGCGAGCTTCTTGCGGCGGTTCCGAGAAGAACTCGGCGGGGATGGGAGGTTCAAGGTGCCGTGGGTCTGGGAGGGGAGCACGGATAGGGTGTTGGTGATGGAGAAGGTGGATGGCGTGAGCGTGGGCGGCTCGATCATCGACAAGCTGTCTCAACGCGACCGCGACGACGTACGTGCAGCACGTTCGGACGGCATAGCGCTGAATGCTGCTTACCTCCCTCCTCGTACAGATTGCGACGCGCATCATAGACCTTTGTCTTCGCGAGCTCTTCGTCTTTCGCGTGATGCAGACTGACCCGAACTGGACAAACTTCCTCTGGAACCCGCGCTCGCGCCAGATAGAACTCGTCGACTTCGGCGCGACGCGTAAGTACACCAAAACGTTCATCGACGACTGGCTGCACCTCCTCTCGTCTGCCGTCGCGGAGGATCACGACGCGTGTATCGAGTGGAGCCTGAAGCTCGAATACTTGACCGGCGAGGAGAACGACGTGATGCGAGAGGCACACGTACGGTCGATGATCCTGCTTGGCACGCCGTTCAAGGCGGGCACGAGGCAGCCGTTCCGGTTCGGTCAGGGGTCGGAATGGACAGATATCACGGCAGAGATTAGGGCGCAAATACCGGTTATGCTCAAGCACCGGCTCACGCCGCCTCCGAGGGAGACATACAGTCTGAATAGGTGCGTCAGGAACGAGTGGTCGTGATGTAAAAGACGAGGCAGGCTCACAGGATTGTCCTGACAGAAAATTGAGCGGGGCGTTTTTGCTGGCATCCCGGCTGAATGCGTCGGTGGATTGCAGGACGTTGTGGAAGAACGTCACGGACGGGTACCGCTTTGGTTGATGGGCCGTGCGTCCAACTCGTGGACATGAAGGCGGCATCCCGGTGTTCATACCTAGCGGGTGGACCCTCCTTTCTTGCTATCTGTCCATGTTAACAGGGATAGAATGTCGTTTCGTGAGACTATGAGAGGACTGATTGGGCTTCGATCGGCACTAGTGAGCACCTTCACGTCGTGACATAAAGGGCGCACACTGAACTCTAGCGCCCAGCCAACAGAGGCCTTACAATGTCCTTCCTGGTGTAGATACCGCCAATGACTTGACCCCGTGTGATCCTCAGTTGTGATGGCAAGTCGCGTCCTGTCACATGCGTGCATACGCGACACGTTCTTTTACTCGGCTTCTATGGTGCCATTATTCGCAACATTGTTTGACGTCAAAACCCTGCCTCATAAATCGCCCCTTAGTTGTGTCCCTTGACTGCGTTCCTGACTCCCACCACGACCCCACTGGCGCCTGTCTTTGTCCTCGGCTGAGACCAGTTCCGGAGACACTCCTGTTTTTAGACATTCACGTCTCCCAACGGAGATGTGAGCCCCGGACGAGGTCGTGCCTCCCTGTCAGAGACCAGGGGGGATCTAACGTGTATGGCCAGCTGACGAGCATACTTTGGCAGAATTGTCTGGGGCGGTGGAGGTAGTGCGTACTAAGCCGAGACCAGATGACCGTTCTAGGGTGTAACGATGCGAGGAACAATGGTAGCTAAGTGTTGCGACTGATTTCTGCATTCAGTCTAGTAACACCGTTATTTGACAGGTCGCGCAAGCAATCGAAATTTCCAATTGGTATACTGTCACCAGCTCAAGACCGGAAGTTGTATGGGAGTTTGCATTCGTCACTACCATACGCTGGTCCAGGGTAGTAGCCCCACGCTCACGCGACGCAACCGTCTGCCTAGAGGATTGTGCGGTCGTCTTAGTTAAGAACCCGTCCTACCGGTGCGATGGCGCCCCGAATACAACCAGTATCGGGCTGACTGCTGAGCGATTCAAGGAATCGCCAATGTGATACAGGCGTACGTCATATGTATGACATAACAATCCACCAAATGGACGGAGTGCAGGAGTGAATCTCCAACGTGAGTCACGAGGTTGGCAGACATCGGCCTGGGGCTCAATTATCCCAAGGTTGGAACTCTGTGCTTCCGAGAAGCCACTTCTAGCTACCTTCCGGATTTTAAGAACGATGGATCGTTGACTTCACAGCAGACATGAGGTAAACTCCTTCAGGTGGGGCGAGAAGATCTGTCCGCTCATAGCAGGTACTGACTCATTCCATCACCTTAGGTGCACGGGGAGCCGCTCTGGTGATACCCCGGTTATGGGATAAAGTTAAGCATATCTATTCCAAAATCCCCCTTTGAGTGACAGAAGGTTGAACACAATGTGGGCAAACGTGCCCTTCTAATGCGGCTCCATCAAGGACGATGCAGTGGGGAATAGTGGTCACCCAGATATAAATGGACCATTTTTCTCCACATGTTCCCCCATTGGAGAATTTTCAGTCCCCTCGAGTCGTATTACATTCAATGGCATTGTTGACAGTTCCAGGTGCCCAGTTCCTTGGTTCTATGAGTAGACATCCGGTGATGCTCTTCCCCGATGGCCAGTGTCGCGGAGACTAGGCGCGACGGCCCGAGGCTCAGCGATCGGCGCCGAGTCGAGCATAGCGTAAGACGGAGGACGTAGGAGGAGAGGGAGAGAGAGGGAATATACAAGGCAGAGGGCGGGCGACGGTGCGGACAGAGGGGTCTCGCACGGTACGGCACCGACGTACCAGGGAACCGAACCAAGGGTCGAAAGGGCCGGGGCGGCACGGAGGCACAAACCTACCAGCAAGACGTAGCGGCACGCAGGCACAGGCTAGTCCCCAGTGATGTAAGTATATTGACAAGTACGAAGATACAGATAGTAACTCACCTAGTCCCCAGTGACGTAAGAGGTCGAGATGGGGACTAGGGGCTAAAGGGCTCTTCTCTATATACCTGTAGACCGGTGCACAGACCATGTAGCTATTTGTACGTATTTGGCACGACCAGAGGCTTGAGGGCTTAAGTACTAGGCACGAGTCAGAGGGGTGTATGTCGTACTAACTACTGTGGGGTGATCCTCATCTAATCTAACGATCGTAAGGCCATGAGGGAGGGAGCGTGGTGGCGGTGCATTGCCGGGGGTATGTAGACGCTTAGACAGAGCGCCAGGAACCTGGATGCCGACGTGAGGCTGCACGTGGCGAACATCGTGGTGCTGCTGGAAAAGGGCGCTGTATGGAGCGCTGGTGGGCTTGGAGGGGGGGAACGGCGGATTCCGAGGTGTTGTTGGCGCTGAGAGGTGAGAGTCCCGGTCCGTACGGTTGGAGAAAGGCAGGCAGAGGGTGTCATGGGCGCTATGCGGAGCGCGGCCGTGACAGCCAGACAAGGGATAGCTCCGCATATGCGAGGAAGCGGTCTAGCACGTTCGTCCTAGAGCCTCCCAAGTATTGTAGGTTGAGTGACAGGCAAGAGGGGATGACAAGTGTGGTGCCTTGCGAGGGCTCCAAGAGGTATAAATTCCTTGTGTCTGTAGCCCCAGAGTTCAATCCCCAGCATCTCTCACCTCCTCGTATCTGCTGATATCACACCTGAATCTTAGCGCAATGGCTGCTGAAACCATCAATGACGGTGTTTGTCAGTATTTCCTCAGTGTTTTTCTCGGGCACTGGTACTCTGACACTCCGCACCAGATTTCATACAGAATCTCGGTAAGGGCACCGTCCTCGACCTGGAGTCCGGTCCGTCATTTCTCGAGGTACTGATCACCCAGCTACCACTAACCCTATGCAATTCTCTGGCCTATAGGATCCTCCAAGAACAGTAGGCACCATCCTCCAGTGCATCTCACGTACTAAGGTAGATTGCTGACTTCAATCTGGCAAGACACCAAGGTCCAGGGCCACAAAAAACGCGAGATCAACGATTCTTGGGTATCTGCACAGCTGTGGCTCATTGCCCGCGTTCCGGGCACCGTGAAGTACACCATCCAGAATGCGAACAGTCGTACCTTCTTGGACCTGAAGGGCGGTATGTTCGGCGTAGTCCCCCCTCTTACCTTGTGCCTTTCTCTGACTACGTACGGATAGGGGTCGCTGAGAACGAGACACCCCTTGTGGGCTACGAGGCCACTAACAAAGTCACTCAGCACTGGATGATTCAGCACAACAGTAACGGTACGGCTTACGTGTGAGTTTGCCCTCTATCTGGTCTTCAAGACAGGATAATTGACGCCGAGCACAATTTGCGACAGCATTTTCAACGCGAAGTCTACTAGTACGTCCTCTCACCCCCTTGTCTGCTCAGCAGATATCCTAACTGATGCATTCGCATAGGCGCGTCTACGCCGCTCTTTATCGATTTGTATGCCGGGTACGTACATTCTTTTCTCTCTGACATTATGTGCGTATTTGGGCTGACATATCGCGGGCCGCAGAGGCGTCGTTGACGGCACACCCATCAAGGGCATAGTTGGTGAAGGAAGTGTCACTCCTAACACGAATCAACTGTGGATCATCACCCGTGCTTGAAATGCAGGGCTGTATGGGCACGAAATCGACCATGCACCGTGCCGCGACCTAGTTTCCGCTGCGCTGAACCGCTCAGACATGTCCTCAAATTGTAGCACGATCAATCATGTACTGGATCCGGAACAAAGGCGTTGTCAATGTCAAATGTGAACAAATAGGCACCTCACCTCAGTTCTCAGCTCACATAGACGGGTGAAGTATCCGTATGCAGAGAACTACACTTACCCTCGGGCTCAGAATTACATCGACTTGCTCACCTCGACCAAGCTACTAGAATGACCATGCTTTGCGTACTAGCTCGGCATGAACCGCCTTACCATGCGCACGAGTTTCTGGCGCCCATTTAACCGTCACTTTTGATAACCATACGTCTATGCACCATACAGAGATTATATCCATTTGTCCGCTTGGCGAGGGCGCGACATGCCCTTCAGAATGTGTTGCTCTGGGGGCGAGCTGTAGACTTGCTGTACCGAAGCTATGCGACACTGCGAGACTACAGGGCGACGTACATCAGTCACCCAGGAACGAGGATGAGGTTACCGTAGTCGAACAAAGGGAATTTTCCCGCGTCCTCATCGTGCTGTTAGAGGGGCTGTGGCTTGAGTGAACGGCTGCTTGGCTAGGTACTGGGACGCCGCGAACGGGCTTCCTCTGCGGCTTCGTCATGGCCGACCAACGACTTGAGATGGTTAGGGTATCCGAAAGGATTGGAGTAGAAAACTTGAGCATACAATAGACTCGCGCACGCGTACGGAAGACCAATTGGTAGGATCGCGGCGATGATGGTAGCATTGGTCGAAGAGACGGATGCATACTAGACAACAAGTCCGAACAGAAGACGTCCACACGTGATTCCTGGGCGCCCGCGCCTCCGGGATAGACCACTTTTGGGAAACGGTTCTCCTTTACGACCGAACGCGCATATGTAGCAACCTAGAATGACACTGGTATTGATCAGCAGAAATAGCAGTAGTCACTCTGGCGATATCCCATAGGCTGAGATATACTCCGGCTGGATTGGCAAATTAACGGGTCATGTTTACCACCGCTAGTGCCTACAACGCAAGCTGAAGCCCAGCGTAAGTTCGTTGTTTGATCTGGACCTACAAGGACAGCATAGCAGAACACGAGGCCCGGTGGGGTGTTACAATGGTTCCTCTGCCTCCAGAGCAAAGATGGACGGAAGACGCTTCCATATATCTCTCCGCTTGTCATCCTCCCTCCTCGCGGTTAGCTTCTCGCACGCCGGACAAAACAACATATTCAGGTCGTTCGCATAGCCTACCCATGACAGCTCCCAACTCGGCCCGAACGACTTGAGACCGTTTCTGCTTGCGGGCGCAACCAGTGCTATCTGTAAAACCCCCTAACAGTTCTTCGATTGTATCTCGTGGCAGCAGGGCGATGGTCAAGGCCGGAAGATAGCAACAGCGGCCTCCGCGTCGAGCTTGGTGAGCTCCGCGCGACCCACGAGTACGCGAATAAGATCGTCCAGGGACAGCTGCTCTTGCACGCCGTCTTCTCGCTCGAAACCTTGCACTAGGCGGCTGGGGGGAATACCGCAGCAAGCGAACAGCGCCGACTGGAGGAGAGACGGCGTGTCGCTCAGTCTCGTGAGGTTCACGACGGCGATGTGGTGTATCGACGGATCGAATCCCGGTATATTATCCTCCACGGTGATTGCAGCATACGCCTCGTATGTGGGAAAATAATGCGACAATAGGTGGTCTGCCACCTTCCGGACAAGCTCCTCAATCTGTTACTTGTGTCCCAGACGGATGAGCCCGCCAATCGTGTCGAAGTCAGGCGTCTTCGGGGCGAACCTAGGGGTAGGCTTTAGTACGGCTGTAAACCAGTGTCTTCAAAGACTCGCTGTAGATGACTTCCAGATATCAGCTGCCTGAGTAGATACCGGAAACAGTTGGGTCGCTCGGTGATGTACTAAACCACCGGCGGCTCATCAGCGGAGGCCGCAGCAGGCTGGGGAAGCGAAATCATGTATTTGAACACCGCGGAATGTTTGGAAAGTGGGCCCTTGTACACGCAGAATTCAGTGTCCTCCGCGACGAATATGACGTTTCTGTCCTCAAACCAAAACTCTTCGTCACGTCTCGTTCTTCCAGGCTTGTCACTGCAGGTCGGCAGGTCTCCGCTTGAAGCATCCAGGCGGGTGCGCTTCCGCGGTGGTTCAGCCATGGTCCTTTTCAGGATTGTGAGAACCTGGAGGGAAGATAGATTGAAGAGGATGTTCACCTATTGAGGAGTGTGTATCTGGCTACGACGGTACGATACCAAGCTGCCCGCGGGAACCACGTAGATCCGGCAGACTGCGCCACCCTGCATGGGCGCTTCAATGGGGCGGCAAACTCCGAGATTCGCGGACACTTAATTTTGAGTCCGAGTCGTGGCATCGTCTTGGTGTGGCCAGCGCGGGTTACGACCAGTACTAGTTGCCGCCTTGGCCCAGGGAGGCTCTTCGCGCAAAGCTGGGACAACTCTCAAGTGAGACGATAGGGATACAACAAGGTCTTTCATTCGCCTAATACGCAACAGCATCTCGACATTCATAGTACACGACTCGGCGTCGCTCTCTTCCTACGTTTTCGACGGCATTTTCTTCGACATTCCAGGAGCAAGATGACAAAAAAGAGTAGTACGACAAGGTAAGGGCCCCGTCGCGGACTAGTGATATGGGTCAGAGCTCTCGAGCTCAAGCCCGGACAATGTGCCAGAGCTGGTGCGGGTTGGTGGTAGCCGGTCCCTGACCAGCCCAGCCGTTGACGGTGGTACCGTTGGCACTGCCCCTGTATCGGATATTGTCAACATTAGTATCATAGCAAAGTATTGAACGAAGGAGAGGGTGCCTACCCGTTGAGCAAATCGACAAATGCTGCGTCGATGTGGATGCGTCAGTCGCTGATGATGCGTAGAAATAATGGAGGACGTACTGCCAGTCGCGCCGTTCCCGATGCTATTGAGGACAGGAGAAAGTGTCAATTTCAAGACGGAGAGGGAGGGAAATTTTCCGACTTACACATAGGCGGTGTTGGTGCTGTTGCGCTTGATGATCCAGCGCTGGTTCGGGTTGCCCGTGGGCTGGTAACCGATGAGGGGCGTTCCGTTCTGGATGTTGCCTGCAGTGGAGCACACAAGTACGTCAAAGGCGGAAAAACAACCATTAAGTAGCCAGTGACGTACTCCCAGTCAAGTCGAGGTAGGTGCGGCTGTTCGCGTTCTGGATCGTGTACTCGTCCGTGCCCGGGACTTGCGCGATGATCCACAATTGCGCGGATACCCAGACGTCGTTGAGCTCGCGCTTGGTAAAGCCCTGGACCTTGGTACCTGACAAATATGCGATTTGGTGTAAGCGAGTGAGACTGGAGGCGGAGTACGCGGAAACGCTATGCACTGTTGGCGCTGGATCCTGTTGGCGAGAGAGCACATGGTTAGCGGCAACTTGGAGGTGTGGAATGGGACGATTGCCGTACCATTAGTGAGGTCCAGAACGGTGCCAGTGCCGGCGTTCTGGATGAAATCTGCAGCAGCACGTCAGCGTCTTGCCGACCACAACGAACGCCAACTCCGAGAAAGGACTGACAGACACCGGTCTCGATGGTCAGAGCAGCCATTTTTCAGCGATTGAGGTTAGGTGGAGGGGGGAGCAGATGCAATGAGAGGTGTTGGGGCCTGAGGACCCGGGATTCTCTCGCAGAGCCTTTATAAGATTGTGAAACCTCAACCCTGTGGAAAATGCGTCAGAGAATACACCGCTAGATCCAATAGAGAGGTCCGCTTGAGCACTATCCCACATCCGTTCTTGACATCGCGAGACCCCAGAACTGTCAGTGGTCTATGGTCTGCACTAGCTTCCACTCAAACCCCACCGCTCCATACAGTGCTGCAAGAGACGTTGCAATCACCTGTTGCCGTCCCGAGGGACCTGTGTACGTTGAGCTGTCATCTTAGCCGCTGGCATGGAAGGCTAATCCGTCCGGCGATGGAGCATCTCCGTTTTGGAAGACGTAAATTATACACCAGCACGGCCTAAGTATTGGAGAGATGATAGTCGCGGCCAGGAACGTGTTGCGGGGCCTGAGAAGAGGGCTGTCCGGAGAGCAATGGAATGAAGGGAAGGACAGGGAAATGCCGCAGTACTAGTACTGCGTAAAATCGCACCTTCTCCGAATCAAAACACGCGATTGTGGAGGTGTCAACGTCTCTTGCGCCATCCAAATATCGCGATAGGTCTTTGGACCTCAAGAGAGCTCTTCTCTATGTCGCAGCGACCGTGAACCAGGATGCACCGATATTTGGCACTTTCAGCCAACGAAAAACGGAGTCTGAGGAGTTGAAACCATCGGAGAGACTGCAATATGCAGGTTTCATCGTTCATGTTGTGCGCAGTCAGCAGCGACTCTCAGGTGCTATTTATCGATACAAACGTGCCGTTCCTGACCTATTAAAGAAAGAGGAGACAGCGAACCCCCGAACGTGATGGAATAATACCCGCTGTCATCAAGGTCATGCCTGTGGACATCTGATGAGTCTAGCCTAACCAGCACTAGGACAGAGGGCACACTCACTTAAGCTCCACCGTCTACCGCGGGACGAACCTCCCCGGTGAGCGCAGGATCTGCAGCCCACCCCTCGACCACGACGCCCATCAACTCTGGCAGCCTCTTCCATATTCCGCGATGCTGCTCCTTCTCCCTCTCCTGTAGCATCTTATAACATCGTGCGCATATCCTCCGGTCGTCGTCTCTCCCATCGATGTAGTCTGACCAGTACTTGAACCAGTCCAGTGTGCACACCACCCGCTCATGATTCCTCAGCTCGTCAAGTAGCTTCAGGAACACCGGCCCGCAGACGTCTCGCCGCGTGCAGCCCTCGGAAAGCGTCTGTTCGAATACGCCAAGGGTAGCCAGGGTGTTCGCCTACATCAGGTTCGCCCGCCCCAAGAAACACCGTCCGATGTCCTCTGCGGAGAGCTTCTCCTGGGTGCCGTCCTCGCGCGTGAAGCCGTTCACGAGCTCGGTCGAGTTGAGCATGCAGCACCCCATCAGTGCGGTGGGAAGGAGGACATCAGTGCTTGTCATGCGGGCGATGTTCACCACACCGATCGAATGGTTAGCCTCGAAGGCGGGTGGACGGGGAGGATCGACTCGTGCCCACGTTTCGAAGCTCTCAACAAAGAACTTCTTCAGGTAATCGAGGCTGCGCTGCACGATCTCATCGATCTCGTACTTGTGCCCAAGCCTGACGCACGCAGATACTGCGTCGAAGGACAAGTCGTCTGGAGCCACGCTGGAAAACAGTATGACGACGATTTATATGAAAAAGGGTAGGACTAGGTTGAGCGTACCGTGGCGTCTTCCCAGGGAGCAGGGCGCGGAATATGTGCCTAAGGTCTTCTGGTGAGTCAGACACATGTACGACAGCAGGCTTTGTCCCACATATGCACTGCGAGCCTGATGTGCCGTCCGGTTGAGGTAAGGAGAGCATGTCCTTGAAGACGGGCGAATTGGTTACTAATGGTCCCTTGTAGATGTGAAACTCGACGTTGCTAGCGATGATCGTCAAGTTACCGTCCTCCAGCCAGTATTCCGGGTCGTGTTGAAGCAGATTGTGCGCTTCCGTTGGCTGCGTGGCTGTTGTGGGTCCGGCTGGACTTGGGTCATCCGGCAGTGGCGAGGAGGCTTGTCTGTTCATATCGGATCTCGATATTATAGATGACATCGCTATTAGTTCCTGTCAGCCATGTCAGATAACACATACGTGAGGCAGCATGACGTACAAGTTACGTGACTAGGTGATATAGATAAAGGGATTACGGGGTGCTTCAGTGCCCCAACACTGTCAAAGAAATGGGAGTCGTCAACTGCGACGGTCCGGAGCAGTCCTGACAGGAGTCATCTGGCCTCGGCCCTTGTTGATGAGCGTAAACGGCATCGTGCCTCACGCACGCAGAAGGTCGTACTAGACGCCGTCGCTCGACGCGTACACCTGTCAGGTTCCTGGTTCATGCATTCATGGCTGTGCACTTGCCGAGACGCTCGCACATTGATATCAGCCCACGCGCAGCTTCAATAGATCTGTGCCCGAAGCCGCGCGCGTACGCTCAATCATACTTACGATCTTCCATTGCCTAACTGTCTTCATTCAAGATTTAGTGATCTCCGTGGGAGGTGGCTCTAACTAAGCATAGAAGCGCCGAATCAGCCAACTTCCAGCGCCGAATCACTAGTACAACAAGGTGCCGTTATTGTTGATCTTCAGATTATGGAAGAACGGAGAACAGGATCGACCTGTTCAGCAATCGGCGCATTCACACGAGTCCGACAGCATTCCGATCCCGAGCCCTCGCGTACCATTTGCAACATTTTGTCCGAAGAGAACATCCGCCTGCATCGCAGTTCCGATCCAGTGGTATCGAAGCGTCAGGCATGGCCGAGCACTTTCAGCGGTTGGTACGTAGTGTTGCCGCCAAGCCGGGCCGGCTTATCCAGCTAGCTCAGCTTGCCAACTAGACGCCCAGCTTGTTGCAAGAAGCTAAGCTAAGCCGAAACGCCTAGAAACGAGCTGATCGTCAGCTCGTTTTCAAGCCAGCTCGCGGGCTAGCTCCATTGATGATGTCATAGCTACCAAAGTTGGTATCTCGTAGGACCGGGAGGTCCCGGGACAGCCGTGACTTCAGTTACTTCGAGCCTATGCTTGGCTGCCATGGCATGGCCTGGTAATTCCTGGATGGATGTGTTGACTCCTCACGAGTCATGCCTTGAGCACAGCGGTAATCCTCATAATATCAAAGGCAGCAGTCACCCTCAGCACAAAACAGCCCGGGAATGTGCGCTACAATGCTGCTGGCGAGCGAGATTATAGACTCTCGTGT